AGGGCTCCAGAGCAAACTAATTTATACAGTACCCAAATCGCTCGCTCACAACTTTCATGCCAGCAGCTCACAAAGTAGGATTTTTGCTCACGGGACCCCACAGCTTAGAGGGAGCATTGGTTGTGATGCTGTCTCCCCTGTTTGAACCAAGCTGATTACATCTTGCGTTGTACCTTTGCATGCTGACTCCTTTCTCTGCGACAACGTCTCCTACCTCCAGACCGGGATAGAAGGACGCAGGGATCTCCATTCCTACTTGTATCTGGCAAAGGACGCTTTGACTCGTGAAAGTTCATAGCCCGAAACATACAGGATCAGGCACCCAAGTTAAGTTGCATCTTAACTGGCAAACAGTTCCAAAGTTATGTGTTTAATTATAACCACACAACAGTCACTGTTCCATAAGCATACACGCTCAAAGCAAAGCGCAAAACTTTAAAACCATACCACCACATTGGAAAAAAAAATAACATAACTCGCTGAGGGGGAAAAATTACTATTTTTTGTGAGTAGTGGGTGCGTTAAAAGGCGCCTGCTCCTTGGGAGGGAAGCGATGGCAAACCTAGACAGCATAATGCCAGCAAAAGTCCGCATGGTCAAAGCAATGGTATTCCCAGTAGTACTGTATGGCTGCAAGAGCTGGACCATAAGGAACGCCAAGCGCCAAAGAATCGATGCGTTTGAACTATGGTGCTGGAGAAGACTCTTGAGAGTCCCTTGGACTGCCAGGAGATCAAATCAGTCAATCCTAAAAGAAATCAACCCTGACTGTTCCCTGGAAGGCCAGATAATGAAACTGAAGCTCAAATACTTTGGCCACCCAATGAGAAGGGAGCCCTCCCTGGAGAATAAGACCCTGATGCTGGGAAAGACGGAAGGTCAAAGACGAAGGGGACGGCAAAGGATGAGATGGCTAGACGGTGTTAATGATGCAACGAACATGAAATCGAGCAAACTCCAGGGGATGAGGGGAGACAGGAGGGCCTGGCGTGATGTGGTCCATGGGGTCGCGAACTGTGTGACTGAACAACAACAACAAAAAGTGTGTGCTTGCAATCCTGGAAATCATGGTGACTTCTGGCAACCTCTGGTGGGGCTAGGTTTCAGAGAGGTGGCTTGCTACTGTCTGCCTCGCGGCCCTGGTATTCCATGGAGGACTCCCTTCCAAGCCCTTGCCAGGGTCGGCTCTGCTTAGCTTCCGAGATCTGATGAGACTGCTCTTGCCTGGGCTACCCAGGTCAGGGCTAACTTGCTGAAAAGGTTTCTTGTTTTTAACTGGTTTTAGCTATTTATTTATTATAGCTGTCTTAAATGTTATTGTGGAATTGCTGCTGTAATCCGTCCTGAGCCCACTTGTGGGGAGGACAAAATATATGTAGAATGAATGAATGAACAATTTTTTAAAAAAAAATAAAGCCCCCAAACTGGAATAAAACTGGCAAGAGCCTCCCTAGATAGTCCGGTGACAGGAACTGTGATAAAGCAAGCGGTCTCACCCAGGGACCTAAGAAGGAAACGCTACGCGCTTCTGCTCCATAGAATTAAAACATCCTGACAGATAACAAGCAATCTAATTCTGGTGGGTTTTTAAAGTAGTAGACACATGTTTAAAAGCAGCTCTCAGTCCCCCCCCCTCTAGAATTCCCAGAAGCCCTTGCTCCAGAACCAGAGT